CTGTAGCTTTCCCTATCTCCCTTGCATTTTGTTTCCCTTCTCCTCTCTGCTATTTGTAAGGCCTCATTGGACAGCCACTTTGCTTTCTTGCATTGCCTTTTCTTTGGGATGGTTTTTGTTGCGGCCTCCTGTACAATGTTATGAGCCTCCATCCAAAGTTCTTCAGGCACTCAACAAATCTAGTTCCTTAAATCTGTTCTTTACTTCCACTGTGTATTCATAAGGAATTTCTTTTAGATTATACCTGACTAGCCCAGTGGTTTTTCTTACTTTCTTCTGTTTAAGCTTGAGTTTTGCTATAAGAAGTTGATGATCAGAGCCACAATCAGCTCCAGGTCTTGTTTTTGCTGACTGTATAGAGCTTCTCCATCTTTGGCTGCAGAGAACATAAACAATCTGATTTTGATATTGCCCATCAGGTGATGTCAATGTATAGAGTCGCCTCTTGTGTTGTTGCAAAAGAGTGTTTGTGATGACCAGCTTGTTCTCTTGACAAAACTCCATTAGCCTTTGCCCTGCTTCGTTTTCAACTCCAAGGCCAAGCTTACCTGTTCCTTTTATCTCTTGACTCTGGTTTAGCCTTCCAGTCCCCCTATAATGACAAGAACATCTTTCTTTGGGGTCACTTCTAGTAGGTGTTGTAAGTCTTCATAGAATTGGTCAATTTCAGTCTCCTCAGCAATGGTGGTTGGTGCATAAACTTGGATTATTGTGATGTTGAAAGGTCTGCCTTGGATTCGTATTGACATCATTCTATCATTTTTGAGATTGTATCCCATTACAGCTTTTCGCACTCTTTTGTTGACTATGGGGGTTACTCCATTCCTTCTACGGGATTCTTGCCCACAATAGTAGATATGATAATCATCTGAGTTGAATTCGCCCATTCCTGTCCATTTTAGCTCACTGATGCCCAGGATGTCGATGTTTATTCTTGCCATCTCCTGTTTGACCACACCCAGCTTCCCAAGGTTCATAGATCTTACATTCCACGTTCCTATGCAGTATTTTTCTTTGCAGCATTGGACTTTCCTTTCGCTTCCAGGCACGTCCACAGCTGAGCGTCCTTTTGGCTTTGGCACAACCACTTCATTAGGTCTGGAGCTTCTTGTATTTGTCCTCCGCTCTTCCTCAGTAGCATGTGGGATGCCTTTCGACCTGAGGGGCCCATCTTCCAGCGTCATATCTTTTAGCCTTTTGTTTCTGATCATGGGGCGTTCTTTTCAAAGATACTGGAGTGGCATTGCCATTTCCTACTCCAGGTGGATTCTGTTTAGTCGGAACTCTCCACTATGTCCTGTCCATCTTGGGTGTCCCTATATGGCATAGCCCATAGCTTCTCTGAGTTACTTAAGCCCCTTCGCCATGACAAGGCAGCAATCCGTGAAGGGGTGACTGAGCTTAGCACACTAGTAATGAAAGCTATATTTTTTAGCAAATTGTAGCACAGGTGAAAATCCAGTTTCTATACATAATGGAATGGTTACAAAATTGCTTCCAGATACAGGGAGTGACAGCTGTTCTGTCATGAAGTGATCACACAAATCGGCTCTGAGATGCAATCTCTTCCTCATAAAATCCTAAATTATATCATGATTACTGACCCTACATCTTTAAATTTTGGGTTGCTGCAGTGAAAAGATTATCAAGATATGTATCTTGCTCTCCTATTGCAGCTGTTGACACAGAGTGTTCAGAGAGGAAATAAGATATTCTGTTACTTTTATGTGCATACATGAATGTAGAAGAAAGAAATAATAGGATATGTTGATGTTTTTTCTTTCTTATGCAGTTGTAAGCAAGGCTATTACTACCTCGATGCAGGAAATCCAGAGGGCTGCTCTCCATGCTTCTGTTCTGGACACTCGACCAAATGTTCTAGTGCAGAAAATTATAGTGTTCATAAAATCACTTCTACTTTCCAGCAAGGTAAATATGCCACTCTAGTCTGCCTTCCATTTTTTGCATGAGAATCGGTTTTCATCTTAGCTTGAATTCTGTTGCAATTCTGTTTGTCAATGTTAGGCATAAAGATCTTGAAGTAGGCCTTCAATGAAGCTCAGTATTAGAAGACCCATTCTGTGCATTCAAGCAGTAAATCTGTTACATTTTCATTCCACCCACATATTTCACATAACACCACTTCCCATTGCTTATTTGTATGTTACTGAAGTAATTTTCAAGGTTCAAGTGAGTTTTCAAGGCTCCTCATGGCTTTTAGACACACTCATCTGGCATGCAAAGTAGAGTGTCAATCACTGTGATTTCTTTAAAATAGAACAGCACAGCACTGGGATGGCTTTATATAGATGTTATATTCAAACAATGATGGGTCTGGTTTAATAACTGCATTGGTTAGTTGCTGGGAACAGTAATTTTTTTAAAAAAATCACCCTCTGAATTTGCTGCTGTCATCAATTCTAGTTTGACTCTAATTAAGGAAAGGAAAGGTAATCAGCATAGGAGTAGTCTATTTATTATTTGTTTGTTTGTTTCTTGATGACCTTTCTCCTGATAAAGAATCAAAAGCAGCTCACAATATTGAAATGAATTGAATTTAAAGCATAGAAAGTTAAACATTAAAATCAATTAAATGAAATGCTAATTAAAATATGATTGAATAATTCAAAGCAAGCAAACATCAAAAATTATCTTAACTTTAAAAGGCATTCAGGGACTCAATCATGGTTTTTAAAAGCTTGCCTTAAAAAGATGGGTCTTCAGCTGTCCATGGAAGGATCAAAAGGAGGAACCCAGCCTGAACTCCCAATTTTCATACTATTTGTTATTTATTATTTACATTTATACTGTCTATGCTGCTTTTTCTTTTATCGGTTCATAGCGTTATACACAGCCTCCTTCTTTTTTGCTTGCAACAATGAGTTGAGGTAGGTCAGGCCAAGAAAGGGTGCCTAACCTAGTAGATTTCATGGGCAGTGAGCTTGAACCAGGATTTTTTCCCACCCACTGCAAGTGTCTAACCACTACAGCACCTTGGAAGAGAGCTGCTCATGGGACCTTCTAATTCTATTCTGCTGCTCCTCTGCAAGGCATATTTTATTCCTAGCATACAAACATTATGGAAGATGATAAGGTTGGCCTGCATTTATAGAAATAGTGGATTAATTCCATAAACTTCCAAAAGATAGCTGAGGTGGTAGCACAGTGGTAAAACTTGTTATTAGTAAGGCAAAATGACCCAAGAGTTGTTTCCAGCAAATTCTCAATCTTTGGCTGCCGTATTACTTTGGAGTTCAATTGCCAGAACCTCAGCCAGCATGGCAAATTGCCAGGGATTGAAGGGATTGAAATCCAAAATATATGGAGGATGAAAGATTGAGAGTTACCGCTATATAGCTAAGTACAAGGCAAAACTGTCTCAACTCTTTTATCTTGGAAGGAGCAGGAAGCTAGACAATAGAGACAAAATTTGCTTTCTGGGCATCATAATATGATGCTTCATAGAATTGCCATAGGGTTGGAAGGGATTGCTTTCTGGGCTTTTAACTCATGTGTATAAGATGATGCTTCATACAATCGTCATAGGGTTGGAAGGGACCTTGGAGGTCTTCTAGTCCAACCCCCTGCCCAAGGGCAGGAGACCTCATACCATCCCAGACAGGTGGCTGTCCAGTCTTCTCTTGAAAACCTCCAGCGATGGGGCACCCACAACCTCTGGGTAGAGTGGGCGGCATATAAATTAAATAAATAAAATAAACATTGGGAGGGAAACTGTTTCACGGCTTAATGGTTCTCACTTGAGGTACCATAAGTACCTTACTACCATAAGATGCGATGAAATACACACCTTAATATGATAAAGGAATTTAAGTGTATCAGGGAAACTGAGGCCAATACCATCAGATTCTACACTTTGTTACCAGAATATATTCCTAGCAGGGCAACCTAAGCCAGAAAGACCGAAGCTGAGACACGAAATGGAAATGCATCCATTGTTTTCAGGAATTAATGACTGCATCAGCGGAAGAGAATTGAAAGTTCCATTGGTGATGAGGGTGGAGAAATTCTTGACAGGCAGCTACTGGGCAGCTCTGGTTCTGAAAGATGAGATTATAAATTGGAAAGGCACTCAGTGAGCTACTGGCAAAGAGTTAAGTATGAATAGCACTGTTGCTGGTGAAGCAAAGCCAAAAGCATGTGTCATTGCTGACATGCAAAGAGGCAAAAGGAAGGTTCAGTGCTCCACAACGTGCAACAGTTGGAACCTGGAGTGTGGTTATTGGGTTCGATTTCCAGTTCCATTCAAAGGGGTCTTGTTTCCTTCTATTCCAGATGACGATGGCTGGCAAGCTCAAGGAAGGGAATCCCCTTTGCAGCTTCAGCGGTCTTCGCATCATAAGGAAATTTATGTAGCGGCAAGAAGTTCTAATCCCATCTATTTTGTGGCTCCAGGTATGTATGCCCCTATCATATAGTGGATAGGAGCAATGCCCCAAAGGGCCTTTCAGTAGAGTATTTGTCTTATTTAATATATTCCATATTCAAAATCATGGCCACACATTGCCCTGCTGTGCCCAGCAGAATCTGGCTGTGTATGAGAAACATGTGTCCCTTCAGGTATTTTTGGAGGGCAGCTCCGATCAGCCTTAACTAACATAGCCAGTGTTGAGGCACTGTGGGAGGTGCAGTCTGACAACATATGGAAACCCATGTTCCCCCCCTCCCTGGTGGAGCACAGATCATTTCTGCCTTCTAGAGGACACCAGCAAGCTAGTCATTAATTCATTTATTTAAAATATTCCGATACCAGCTTTTGAGGTGGATCTTTCCCAGAGCAGTTTAAAGAGTAAAAAATCTAATGCAATAAAATATGAAATACAGACAATAAAAACAACATAAAACCCTTCAAACATTCTGAACAATAAATATAACATTATATGATTTATCCCATGTAGACATATTATTTTTTTTTATATGGTACTGGCAAATCCATCTTCTCAGTGGAACAATTTTCTTTCCAAACATTATTCTTGGACTCCTTGTTTGCTTCATGCTTCCTTTGTAGCCAAGTTCCTTGGAAACCAGCAACTCAGTTATGGGCAGACACTGTCTTTTCATTATCGTGTGAACCGACCAGGACGTCACCCTTCTCAGCAAGATGTAGTCTTGGAAGGAGCCGGATTGAAAGTCACTGCTCCATTTACGCCTAATGGAAGGACGCTACCTTGTAGAAGTGGCAAGATGTACACACTGAGGTAAATTGCTTGTGGTATCAGCAAACATCTCTACATAAAACATGACATAAAGGGACAGAGTCACACGTTCTCTGTCATCTGTTGCTTACTACCTCATCAAACAAGGGAAGTACGAATGAATTCTCATGGATCTAGTGTCATAAACAGAACTTCTGTATCGTCCAAGATCTCATCACTCGTGTTTTCAATGGAGTCAGTTTGCCCATCCAGCTGCCAGTTAGCATGTGTCCAATAATCAGAGGGTGAAAAATCTGGTGATGTTTGAAAAAGTTCAATGATGTTTTATTGCATGAGAAAAAGCACATCTTTTAAAACTGGCATGTTTAACCTGCCGTGCTGTGTTGTTTGTGTGCCAGTTAGCATGTGTCCAATAATCACAGGGTGAAAAATCTGGTGATGTTTAAAAAAGTTCAAGGATGTTTTATTGCATGAGGAAAAGCACATCTTTTAAAACTGGCATGTGATGTTTAACCTGCCGTGCTGTGTTGTTTGTAACTATTCTTTGCTCTCTCTCTCTTTTTTTTACCTTATGCTTACTAGTTTTTAAGAATGACGTTTCTGGTTGCTCAGGGTGTGATAAGTATTGATGGCAAATATTAAAATGCAGAATTGCAATAAGGAAGCATAGTTCACATCCCTGGATTACAAAAAAATGTTCAATAGAGGTACCAAATGGCCGGATTTTGTATTTGTGTATGTTGTTCTGAGAATTATGTGTTTTTCCCTGGATTCTATGGCCAAAAGCTTATAGACAGCGCTTTTGCAGGAAAGCAATCATGCACGTTGTGCTGGCTGTTTTGTCAGCTGCCCATTATGTGCCCAATCATGCCCTGCTTGTCCAGTCAATCATATACCAAGATGTTCGACAGATGAGATCCAGAAGTGGTTTGCATGACTACCCTTCTGTGCATGGCAAAACCTAACAGAGTTCTGGACTATGTTGTGCTCTTTCTTGATCACAGCATTGTTCTCTTCTCTCTCTTTTTAGCAGTTCTAGCCTTTTCTCTTTGTCAGGAATATAACAGCAGTATGCCATTGTATTCTCTGGTTTTATCTTTCAATCCCAGATGTCTTTGCTAAGGTACCTTTTGCACATCAGTGTGGTGCAAAGTTTTTTTAATATAAAAAACAGAACTTCAATTTCTTGCATCATCTCTGACTTGCAGGTTGGATGAACACCCAAGTAGCAACTGGAGCCCTAGACTAAGTAGAGCTGAGTATCACCGGTTAATTGGAAACCTGACAGCTCTTCAGATCAGAGCTACTTATGGAGACAGTAAGTTGAGAGGAAGATGATGTAATTTAGTCTAATCTCAACAGGTTGAGTGATTTTCTTTTGATGATGTATCACTTTTTCATTTCCATCCTATTGTAAATAAGAATGGGACTTTCAGAATGTTAAGATTTCCAGTCCCATAATTCTCCCCAAACCCCTCAGCAGATTGATGGGTTTGAAAGCTCCCAAACCAGAAGGAGCTATAGCAGTCCTCTCTACCTCCATGCCATTCCTGCACTGTTGCTCCTTTGAATATTAAGAAAAGCATCCCACTGAACTGTGGGAGGCCTAAAGAACTGTAACTCACAAAGAATCATGGGAGGACAACTCCCAATGTCCATTAGACTATATGGAGACACCTTCCAACAGAACTACATCTTCCACAGACATTTTGCAAATTGTAGCAAGGCTATGATCTAGGATAGCGTTCCTGGACATATTCAGCAGTTTTGTTTGACACAGATTCCAAAGTGAAGTGACTGAATCCACATCTTATGGATTCACATCCTTGTCAGAATTCAGCTATTATTTGAATTTTATATTTCTCTGAATTTTGCAAAGTGCTCTGCTGAAAAAAAAACACCAAGCCTATGTAAAACATCTATGTTTTATGATAAAATATGTTTAGCAAAGTGTTCTTTAAGGGAAGATGTTCAGAAATGCATATGTTGTGAGGAAATATGTTCAAATTGCACAGTTAAATAATTAATTTTCATATAGATTATTCAAAAAACAGCAAATTAATACAGAACCAGGAGGGAGCAGACTGACAAAAGACTTTGCTTCAAAATGATATAGACTAGAAACTGACCCTAGCTCTGTTTGATAGACATATATTCATTTCTGAGTCAGACATTATCAAGTTGGGATTTTGGGATGTTTGGTATTTACCATATTATCTTCTCAAAGAGAATTCATTGCAATCTGCTTTCTGTTTCTTTAGGCACAGGGTACCTCAGTAACGTCGTTTTAGTGTCAGCGCAGCCAACCCCTGGCACTCCAGCCCTGTGGGTGGAGGAGTGTGTATGTCCAGCTGGGTACCATGGCCAGTTCTGTGAGAAATGTGCTCCAGGGTACAAGCGGGAAGATTCTGCCCAACTTGGGGCTCTTGGCAACTGTGTGCTGTGCAATTGCCAGGGAGGAGGACTTTGCGATCCAGAAACAGGTATGGAAACCCACTAAGATATTTCTTTGTGGCCAGATGGTTTTTATTTGTATGAGCAGCCTTCAGGTTTCTGATATAAAGACCAGACAATTCACTCATGGCCTGTTTACACAGTGAACTAGTGATTCTGTGATGGCAGGGTGGGCCGGAGAGCACTCTTCCCATTGCTCCAGGCACAAAGGTCATGTCCGATGGAACCACTACACCGACACACATGGGATAAGCACGGGGTCCTCTTTTTTTTGGAAGGAGAAGAATTTCACACCTGAGGACAGCGTTTGAATGCATGTCTATAACATTGGGCCTACAGTATATGTTAGCTTCCATGCATATTGAAGGTATGCATATGTTCTGTGGCCACATGAAGAGAATGTCTACCTGGGTCAGTGTGTTAACAAACTCTCTGAATAGGCTGACTTTTTAAGATTTAGAAAGGAAGTTTCTATCCAGCATATGAGGAAAAACTCTGAAAATGCTCTGAGTGCATTTGCTAAAACTTTGACAAACACTATTGAAGAGCTGTTACTGATAAAAATCCATTGGGACACCAGGGGGATTTATTTTATTTCCTTCCCATATATTCTGCACAGTGTTAGGGGGCTTAGTGACCATAGTTGTTGTAACAGTGGTATGCAAACTGCGTCTCTATGATGGCATGGCTGTAGTGTTTAAACCCCACCAAGGTTTTGGCTAGGGCCAACAGCAACGTTCTTTACCACTCAATTGTTGCCTGGCCAGACCCCACATGTTTGCCATGCCTGCCTGGTGATCAGCCTTTAAGCATTGTGGAAGTGCAAGGAGATGCACTTGCACAATAATGTCTCCCATCGGCTGCTGTAATGTCTAAACAGCATCACAGTAGGTGAGTAAGAAAAGCAGACTGCTTCCTTGCAGGAAGGACCTCAGTTTATTTTCTCTCCCAGGCATGTCCTGGTTCTCCTCAGCAACTGAGGAAGACAGGGAACTCTAATCATAGCCAGGCAACAAGTAACAGGTCCAGCACTGAGTGCCAGATCACAAATCCATCAAGAACTAATCTGGAGATACACAACTCATAAAATGCACAGAGCTTGATGTTTATCACTTTTATGGCAGTGGCTGATAACCACGATAAGCCACAGTTCATTAACTCAGTGCATTTATTCTACTTTTAAAAAAAATGCTCCCCCCAAATGCACTGGTTGTCTGGTTTTTCAGAAATTTGGAACTGGGAGAGGGAGAGAGAGAGTGTGTGCATATTCATGCACATGCAAATGTGAATAAACAAAATAGCCAAGCTTTTAAGTTCTCCAGAACACTTCATTAGGCTTGCTCAGGGGTGGGTGACATGCAGTCCCCAGAGCCCAAATGTGGCGCCATCCCTGCCCTGTCCATTATCCACACCCACTACGTGGTTTGGGTCAGAAAGTCCTCTTCTCCACTTTAGGTGCTGTAGGACAATTTTGCCATGCCTTGAGGGGGCTGCAACACCCCTTGATCCCCTCACACTTCAATTAAAAACTTATTTTGACCATCAGGAGGTGCAAGGTGGCATTTCCTATTTTTGAAAAAATGAATTTTTGTAAGAAAAAAATGTTGTGGCCAAGGGATGCAGATGTGCAGCCCTCCAAGATCTGTGGATAGACCTTTGGAGGTCACCCATCCTAGGCTAGGTGGCAAAAAGGGGAGAGAATGGGGGAAAGGCATGGGAAAAAATTCCATCAAAAAAATTAGGTAGGTATTTTAAACCGTAGAAATTTCCATTTAAATTCAGTCCCAAAATGGAGAGTGGGCTGAATAAGACTCATACAGGTATCATGTGACTTTTGCCAAAGCCCACTGGGAAAAAGCTTTCTATATGTATGTGGGGTTTTGTTAAGTGTGAAAGCTGTAACAGAAATCCAAAAAAGGGCCATCTAGGCCACATTCAAACTGTGACCCATACGTTGCGAAATGATGTTCTAGTCAACTATTGCTTTCCTTTTCTTTGTTCAGGGGATTGTTATTCTGGCGATGAGACCATGAGGCCTGTGCAGGCTGCCTGCCCAAATGGTTTTTACAGCTTCCCACGGAACCCACAGAATTGCCAGCCATGCCCATGCCCAAGTGGCTTTGGCTGCTCAGTGCTCCCCAGTACAGAGGAAGTTGTTTGTAATAAGTGCCTTCCCGGAACTGAAGGTAATGTCCAAATATCTGATATATACCAGGTTTTTCCACTGAGGACTAGTGTTATTTTTTGTGAGTGACAGGAGCAAAGAGTGCAATTATGGTGCAAGGGAAATGCAAATTCACTCACATTCACTCACTGTGAAGCTGCATTGGGTGAATTCAGGTTACTTTGCATTGTGATCACGGAGTAAAGCTTTGTTTGCAGCTTGCTTGCAGTCTTGAAGGTGACACTGTTACAAGGAACTACCTAATAAGCTGTAAACAAAGATTTCTTCCTCATTTTCTCCTCCCATTATCTAGCACCAAGATGTTTTTTTTAAGTTCTGCTGATCAGAGGCTTTGCTCACCATTCCTATGTGTGTAGTGCCACAGAAGGTTTTTTGCATCAGTTCAAGCAATCACATCACCTGAACTGATGTGAATAGGTCTGGGTTTTTTTTTAAGTGCCAGCCCCAGCAGCAGAAGCAAAAATGATGATGATGGGGGAAAATTTCCATCTGATTCTCATTTTCTTTTGCATCATTTGATCAATGGGAAGAAGTGCAAATCAGCCCATCCTAATCCTGGTGTATTTCCTACATCTTTTTTTTTTATCGGTTGCACCCTTAGCCAAAGGTGTGTGAAAGAGAAAAAGAGAGAATGCAAATTGTGAACACATGGTTTATAAAGGCCAAGCTAGACATTCCATGTCAATGGGTCTTATCAGGATATGGAAATGGCTCCACGGTTAATGTGTGGAGCATGAAAGTGGAGTAGGAAGCAGTTTCTTAACTGCTGCTCCTCTATTGTCCATGACTGGAGGAAAACAACTAGAAAAGGCAATTACAGAGACCAAACAATAGTGAGGCAGGGCTTAAGAACTCTCTTCTCCAGCTTATTATGTTTTCCTCCATATCACATGTCACTCCTACAGATATTCTGTTACCAGTGGAGGCTATTTTCCAAATTTGAGACTTAGTAAACAAGAATCCAAGTCCTAAAAAGTTGCCTCTCTGCTTTCTATACTAGGGAAGTTTCCAGTATGCCTCATCAGTTTCTTAATTGTGGAATCCTCTGGTTTTTGACTCTGCATTAAAAAGAAAAAGCATTCACACAACAGGTTGGATTTTACCCAAGAAGCAGTTAAGCCTTATTACAATTTGAAGGGCAAGGACTGCAAATATAAAAGATAATGCAAAGGCAGGGTGACATCATAGGGCTTCTTCCCTGGCCACAAGTTAATCAAACAGAACATGTGCAAGCATTTCTGAGTAACAATCATAGCCCTGAAGGAGTTTGACTTATTAATACTTGTGTGTCATTAGCACCAGCATTACTATCATTACCAACTACCTGTCTTCTTACAATAATCCTTTCCTGACATGTTGTCTGTATATAATGTGAACTGTAGGTACTTTTTGTTTGTGGAGCCAAATAATAGCACAAATGAATCAGTTGCCATCACAGGAGCATTTAAGCCCATGAACCTATCCCTGCAGCCTGAACTCCTACAACACAGACAAAAGAAGACTTTGAATGATGGGAGAAAATATAGAGTTCTGGGGAAAAAAATGTGTTAAGCCACACCTCCTGACTGCTTACATGTAACCAATTTCAAACCTGGGTTGAAATCAGCCAGTCATCGGTGGTGAGCTGGGAACCAGCAGGCAAGAAATGTGCTGGGAATTTGGTGACAAAGCTGTAGCTGGGATCAGAGTAAGGACTGTGAGAATGAGTCATGATAAAGGAGGGACAGCAAATTTTCCTTCTAGCAATGTGATTCCTTCAGAGCTTTATGCATGAGCAATCTGACTCACAAATGAACCCTGGATTTACATTCTAACGACCAGTAATAAAATGAAGCAAGCCATTTTGCAAAATGTGGAGGTGCAACAAGCTCATGCTAGGAAAACCAAATGTCTTTCCAGCCATCAAGGGGTTCCACTTCTAAATGCTGATTGTCTTATACTTGTGCAGAGTTTTTCTAGAGTCAAGAGGGGATGATGTTCAGAGGCAGTTCATGCACTGCTGCTTCAAGGTTCCATTTGATATTATTTCCCTCCTTCCTAGGAACACGCTGTGAAGTGTGTACTTATGGGTATTTTGGAGATCCTTTGGGTGAGAAAGGCCCAGCACGGCCCTGCCAGCCCTGCCAGTGTAAAGACACAGATCCAAATGCTTCCTGGATTTGCAACCGTTTGACAGGGGAATGCCATTGCAAAGAGGGCTACTTTCGAAATCCTTTATCTCTCAACCCAGCAGAAAAATGCCAAGGTATGTTATGATCATGTACAAATGAATGTTGACTTCCAGGGCATCTTTACTTCCATCATTGTGTGCTGAAATCCTGTTATTTAGTGTAGTAAGTCACAAAGCTGTATTGGGATACAATCTCAAAAATGATAGAATGATTTCAATACGAATCCAAGGCAGACCTTTCAACATCACAGTAATCCAAGTTTATGCACCAACCACCAATGCTGAAGAGGCTGACATTGACCAATTCTATGAAGACTTACAACACCTTCTAGAACTGACACCAAAGAAAGATGTTCTTCTCATTATAGGGGACTGGAAGGCTAAGGTAGGGGGGAGTCAAGAGATAAAAGGAACAACAGGTAATTTTGGCCTTGGAGTTCAAAACGAAGTGGGGCAAAGGCTGATAGAGTTTTGTCAAGAGAACAAGCTGGTTATCACAAACACTCTTTCGCAACAACACAAGAGGCAACTCTACACATGGACACCACCTGATGGGCAATACCAAAATCAGAGTGATTGTGTTCTCTGCAACCAAAGATGGAGAAGCTCTATACAGTCAGCAAAAACAAGACCTGGAGCTGATTGTGGCTCTGATCTCCAGCTTCTCATAGCA